CCCACCCCCACCCCCACCCCCACCCCCACCCCCACCCACCCACCCACCCACGCACGCACGCACGCACGCACGCACGCACGCACGCACGCACACACACACACAGACACACACAGACACACACAGACACACACAGACACACACAGACACACACAGACACACACAGACACACACAGACACACACACAAAAACACACACAAAAACACACACAAAAACACACACAAAACACACACACACAGACACACACAGACACACACTGACACACACTGACACACACAGACACACACAGACACACACACACACACACACCCCTACCCGCGCACGCACGCGCACAGGCGCACGCGCACGCACACAAACATGCACAAACACAGGCACCCACACGCGTACAAAACCATGCACACACACACATACGGAGCACACAAAAACACACATACGCGCACACACACACACACACTTATACACACTTACAAAAATAGCGCGTACACACAAACATGCACACACACACACAAACGAACAAACACATACGCACCCACGCACTCACAAACAGGCACACTCACGAACACACACACACACAAACACCCGCACACAAACAGAAACACACACGCGCGCACACAAATACGAACAGACAAACACACGCACACACACACACACGCAAACACGTGCAAACACACGCACACACACACACACGCGCGCAAACACAAACACACACACACAAAGCCACACACGTACGCGCGCGCGCACGGGCACGCGCGCGCGCGCACTCACAGACTACGCGCGTTGCACACACAAACACCCGCACACACACAGACAAACACACAAACACATGACGCACACACAAACACACAAACACACGGACATACATACGCACATACATACAGACAGACAGACAGACAGACAGACAGACACACAGACAGACATACATGTACACATACATGCGCAGTCATGCGCACACACACACACGCACACAAACACACACACACAGAGTAACCACACACACACATACACACCACACAGACACACACCACACACGCACACCGCGCACACACACACAGACACACACACACACACCGCACGCGCGCAGCGCGCGCCCCACACACACACACCACTCACACACCACGCACAAACACCACGCCACCCACACACCACACACGCACACAGCAGACACACGCACACACACACACACACCCACCGCACACGCGCACACACGCGCACACGCGCACACACGCAGACGCACGCTCGCGCACACGCCCGCGTGCAAGCACCGGCACGCACACGCAAACGCAGGCGCGCGCACGCACACACACACACACACACATGCCACACACACCCACACACACACAGACGCACACACAACCACACACAATCACAAAAGCGCACACAAACAGAACCACGCACACACACACACACACAACCCAAACAGAAACACAACACAGCCACAGCCACAAACGAGCAAACACACACACACACACGCAAACAAGCACACACACACATATTCACACACACACACGGAAACACGCACACACACAGACACGCACACCACACAAACACATATGTGCGTTATCTATGTATATATATATGTATGTATGTATGTAAGTAAGTATGTATGTATGTATGTATTTCCCCATCCTTTGTCTCTGTCTCTGTCTCTGTCTCTGTCTCTGTCTCTGTCTCTGTCTCTGTCTCTGTCTCTGTCTCTGTCTCTGTCTCTGTCTCTGTCTCTGTCACTGTCTCTGTCTCTGTCTCTGTCTCTGTCTCTGTCTCTGTCTCTGTCTCTGTCTCTGTCTCTGTCTCTGTCTCTGTCTCTGTCTCTGTCTCTGTCTCTGTCTCTGTCTCTCTCTCTCTCTCTCTCTCTCTCTCTCCCTCTTGTCAAACTACATGCTTTGTGTTGCATGTATGTTCATTACTGCAGGCCTTGAGCTCACTACTTCGCATGAGTTAAAAGGTTGGCAGCTGCAGACCACATAGGTTGACTGTTTGATTGAACACTACAGCACTTGCGCTTGTAAGCAAAAGTACCAACCAAATTTAACGTGGTAGCGGAGCTGAGATCCCAAACATAGGGGAGCTCCAGTAAGCAGTAAGTACTACAACCGCAGCAACAGCAGTCACATGCCAAACTACTACGACATGTGAGGAGAAGCAGCATCAGCCTCAGCGCAACAAACTACAGGAGCAGAGAATGGGCCAACAGCAGACACAGTAGGAGCCACAACTACGGGAGCAGGAACAGAACAAGACAACGACCAGAGACTACATAGATACAAACTGCCACCACCCTTCTTCACTGGTGACTACTCCCAGTATGAAGAATGGCTGTTCAAGCTACAAGCATACCTCGGCCTCATAGACCGAGACTTCGACCTGGTGCTACAACTAGCACAAGTGGCTACACGACAGATTGAGGACACAGACATCAGAACACACACACTCGACCCTACACAAGCAAGCAAAGCAGTAGACCTCTCCAGAGATCTACACTACATCCTCATCAACATCTGTCAGGGAGCAGCAGCTACAGTAGTAAGGC